CTTACAATTAAGCACCATATCATTTCAAAAAAGTCACAAAGACCATGTAATTGCTATGATCCAGACATTATATATTTCATTGCTAAAATTGACAAAATTCTAAAATAAGAAGAACGAATGGCAATTATTATGCGGTACCCAATGAAAATTCCATCCTGCACACCATGAATTCCATACCTTTAAAGATTGGATGTAAGTAAAACACATAGATGATCTATCGTTTCCTTGCTTTGTTTGCATAGAAACAAACTGTTTGCTCTTCACCAATAAGTTCTCGTTTAGCAAATTCATGTTTCACTGCTACCTTCCTCTACATAAGTTGGCAAACAAAAACTTTCAACTCGATAAGGTGCAAACCCTCTCCACATCTTGCACCAAAGTTCTTCTTTGTCACACTGCGTAGTTGTCACGAAATGATAAAATGCTTTAGAGGAGTACATACCATCAGGCTTCCAAATAACTCCATTTGTCATGGAATCATTAAAATCGAGTGCACTATTCAAATTCCTATCCAAATAATTGACATTAAAATTTAATTTTTCACTACCAAATGTTATTGTGTCATTCTCCAAAACGTTGTAATCTCCCATTTTTGTTAGTAAAAAGTGCAACAAGGTGTGGGAATTCACTCTGGAGAATAATATCATCCATCCATTCATCATGCCAGAATGCTATTGAATGTCTAGTACTTACCACAAGTCCAAAAGTTTATTAGTAGGCGAAGGTGGAGAACACTAATTTTCCAAAGATTAGAACTTTTACCATTGACAACAGCATTGGGCAAAAGGACATTTTAGCTCATAGTCATTCTTTGTTATCAAGAACTCTCCCCATAAGTTATCTCTCTCATTTCGAAATCTCTACAGTTATTTATTTAGTAAAGGTCAATATTTTATTTCTAGATCAACTCAACCAAAACCAGTCAAATTTCTATGCAAATTGCATTCCAATTAACACAATGAATTCTCCCATTCTTACCATTACTATCCTATAGAAACCTCTGCTAGATTTTATCTAGTTCGTTTTGAACTCCCTAAACCATCTTGAAAAGTAGCCTAAAAAAAATAGACAAGCCACTCAGACATTGATTTTATCGCAATTACTTGACCTCCTATTGAAAGCATTTTTAGATATCTACTCATCCAATTCAGTTTTAAAACCACCACAAATTGTCATATTTTCCTAGATGCCTAAACAACCTCCAAAGGAAAGCCTAAATATGTCTATAGGAATTGGCCTATCTTATATCAAACTCTTGCGGCCCATAATGCCACTGTGTTCGAATATCCCTACCCCAAAAAGGTTGTAGTTTTCTTAAATTAATCTTCATTCGCCGGACTATCTGAAAACATAATATTGCAGCTTTTGTATCCAGTACAACTGCCTCATACCACCCATCATTTTCTAGAAGCATTACCTCCTCGATTCCACATTCATAGGTATGTACCATCATTCCTCCAACATCTGGTCGGTGTGCAATCAATTCAAACTCCGCGGCACTGAATAATTTTGGATGGATTTACTCGAGGAGGGCTCAACTCCGCAGCTATTGGCTCTCAGAGTATAGTCTCCACATTAACATTATAGTGGTTTTGATACTTTACAATGTAATTTGATTGCAAGTAATGTGATTGTAAAAAAAATAACATTATAGTGTTTGGTATACAACTAAAATAATGATTAAAATGCAGAAAAAATAACATTGCAGCGTTTGGTTTACAAGTACTTTGTTGAAAATGTAATGTTAATTTTTAAAATTATCCCTAGTTATTAAAAACAAGTTTAATATATTTATATTTTTTATTATTAATTTTTATATAATATTATCTCTTAAATATATTTTTAATATCATATATTTTATTTTCATTTATTATTATAATCTTATATATTTTATTTTGAATATATTTATATTTTTTATTATTAATTTTTATATAATATCATCTCTTAAATATATTTTTAATGTCATATATTTTATTTTTATTTATTATTATAATCTTATATATTTTATTTTTATTTCTTTAATATATTTTTATATTATATATTTTATTTTAATTTGTTTTACCTATATTATATAAATTTTAATTTTTTATATTTTATTTTATTTTAATTTTTGATTCTTATATTATATATTTTATTTTAATATTTTTATTTTAGTTATAACAGTATAAAATATTTTTAATAAGAAAATAAATTTAAGGGTAAAGTTATCTTTAAAAATATTACAGAGTGCAATGTAATGTGATTGCATTGTTTTTGGACTACAATGGTTGTAATGTGATTGTATTGCAATCTTACATTGCAATTGTCTGTTACAAAACAAATACTGTAATATAATTTAATTAGATATATGGTAAGAAATGTACTTTCACTTTCTTGATATCAAACGTTACTTATCTTCCAAGCTTACGCAGATGTAGTGTTATAACGACATTCAAAGAAATCAAAAAATAAAAATGACATGATATTTTTTAGACACGTGACGCATTCTTATTGGTTGGTTTTTTTTAGTGACTTCATGGTCGTTTTTATCATGTCGGTTATTTGTCTAATCGAAAATAAATAAAAGTCCACAAAGGGCGCAAGAAAAAGTAAAAAAATAAAAGTCACAAAACCTTCTAAACCATTCATTTTTATTTTGACGTGAAAAAGCAGTAAGAATTGTTTTGGTCGAAAGTGACCAAACATCCAAAAATATTTTAGGTGATTTTTTTTTTCAAAAAGAAAAACTCAACTTGATTGCCCTTTTTATTACTTTTTTATTTTTATTTTAAAAATAAAAAAGTAAACTTTATTTATAGAAGCAAATAAAGCAATTATAATTTTAAAAATGAATTTTTGGAGTAATAAAATAATGCTCCCTCTTTCTCATAAATGCTATTTTAGTTTGATTTTTTTGTCATCAAATTATTTCAATTTTGACTTTAACTAAATTAAACTTAAACAAATATATACATGAAAACTATTTTATTCAAAGTTTTAGAAGAGTATTCTATTTTCAACTTTTTTTAATAATGATTTATAAGTGAAAAACAGTTGAATTTTAAAAATATTGATTAATAAATAGAAGACAAATACTAATTGTGAAATGGAAGGAATATATATTCATTCTTCTTAGTGAAAATTTACGTTGAAAAGCAAAAGGTTAAGGCCTAATAAAAAAAATTCAAATATCAATTGAAAAATGAAAAAAAAACTCTCTTGATTATGTTTGAGATCACAATTTTTTATTTTAAAAAATATAAATTATTGGGTAAAATATCTTCATTTTCTTAAATTTTAATTAAAATTTTAAACGAATTCATTAGTTTGTGAAATAAACACTTCACCTTAAAAAAAATCATTCACTGAACACATAAATCTAATCGTTAGTTAACTGTTAATATTTATATTAATTTGATGATGTGATAGTATTGAAATAATAATTTTATTTTTATCAATTTTAAAAATTATTATTATATATTTTTAATAAAAATATATAATACTAATTTTTAAAATAAATAAAAAATAATATTTTCATATTTTCATAATCTCTATTAACCGTATTTATACTAAAGTGGTTATTTTGAAAACTAATAACTTTGTTTAAAATTTTAATTAAAATTTAAAAATATGAAAATATTTTTCCCTCAATTATTTGAGGTTTTTTACTTAATGATAAGTGTATGACGGAAGTTCGGAGAGGTGGTAGGGAAGATAGCTTATTTTCCTGCTCTTGGAAACCTTAACAGCCATCACATATATTTTGCCTTTTCCGGCTATTAGAGTGGCATATAATTGGATCTGACAAAATTTAATATGGTTTTAGGTATAATAATTGTTCACTCCAAATCTTAGTGCTTCAACATTATAGTCAACAGCGTCGGGATTATTATTTTCGACTATTTAAGCAAAGGTAGCATTAGAGGATGCGAATAGGGTGACAGAGGCATCATATATATTTTATTTGGATATAATTTTTAAATAAAATTTTAAATTATTTAAAAATTTTTTTATTTTTTTATTATGTTCAATTAAGTTTGTATATTTTTATTTTAGATCAAATAAATTTTTATTATTAATGATTGATTAATTATTATTAATTAAAATATCACTTGTTATTTTATATCTGACGTTGGTATAGAAGATAAAAATTACCACATTATTATGCTATCATACCAATAAAAATATAAAAATTTATTTAATTTTTTTAAAAATAATTTAGAGATTTTTTAAAATATTATGTCGTCTACTTTTTTTTAGCAATTAGAGTAACATATAATTGAATAGGTTTAGAGAATTTTTTAAAATATTATTTTTTTTAACAATTAGAGCAACATATAATTGGATTATGAAATCTGATTTGAAAAAAAAATGTAATATAGTTTTTGGTATAATAATCATACATATCTATTTTATTTTTGAAATGTCTAAGTGTAGGTGTAGTAGGTGTGATGAGATTAGGTTAGAAATGTCACAAAGTCTAATGATAACTGGTACATGGCGATAGACTTGAATAGCATGCAATCTTCATCTCAATATAAGTGACTCTTGTTTTATAGACTTGAATATCATGTAATCTTCATCTCAATCAATACAATTTACAAATTATCTTTAATTCCATCATTGAAAAATTAAATTAAGGTTAAAAATTAATATAAGTTTCTTAAAATTTAAAACTTGTAATACAGTTATAAGTATCTAATAAGATAATAACCTCTTCCCCTTTAAAATTTAAAAATTAAAATAAGTTCTAATGTCCTATAACTTAATAGAGTAAAATTTAATATAGTAACTTAATAAGTTAATGGAGTAATTTCATATATTAACATTTAATTCGAAACAAAGAGATTATTATTATTAATTATTAGTAAAAGTTTAATTTTTCTCCTAATGCTTAGAACTTATGAGCTAATTTATTTCTTTTGTGGACAAGATAAGCTCTTTTCTTTAAAGCGATAAAGACAACTTATGTGCTAATCAAAATACTAAATGACACCATTGAAGTAATCCAATCTAACGGCTGACATCAAGCAAGTCTAACCAGCCTCGTCTCATTCCCGCCATTCAACGAACAAAAGCCGATATATTTTTTTTTTCCTTCTTGGCCGGAGGAAGCAGATATTATCTCCACTATTTTTATTTTTATTTTTTATAAATTATTAGGAGTAATTTATTGTCAATGGAAGCGGGAAGGATCCTCCACATCGGCATTCAATGGACCCCCAGGCGCCCTCATCTTCCTCTTCCTAATTTCCCGCGCTTTGTTAGGGCTTCTTCTATTCAACGGGTACTGTGAATCCCTTCCCCCTGTCTCTACGCCCTGAATTGCATTTTAAACGTAATTATTGACGAACTAATCGCCATTTTATCTTAAATAAAAAGGGAAGTTACAAAGGACCAAAGCCAAGCCGGGATTGGATCGCCGATTGGGTCTCTAAGAACGACGACGCAGTCCGGAGCTTGCCAATCTACGTCGGAGGAGCGTCTTTGTTAACCGTTCTCTTTAACCGTGCAGTCTCAGGGATTGCTCCCGTTGCCGATGCTAGCAGGTAATCTTTTATATTATTGTTAGAATATTTTTATTATTTGCTGTTAATTTAATTGAGCTAAAAGTTTATATTACATTTTGAGATATCTTTGTCTCGTTTTTTGTTCCATTAATGCGAAGATTATTAGTTAATTGTTCACAAAGCATTTTGAGTGTAATTCCAGTTAAATTGGATTAGAGGATTGCATGTCGGTTTAAATGCATTAATCACTCAACTAATGTTAGGTTAATTTGTTGCTTTACTTGTAGGAAGTTAAAATTTTGATTTAATCGTTTGCTTAGTTTAGTGGTACTTGTGATTTGCTGGCGAGTTAACTGCTCAACTAATCTTAGGCTTAGGACAGATTAAAGTAGTTTGTGCTAATTTGTTGCTTTTTTTTTTTAATTTGTGAATTTATAGAAATTTATACTAATGTGGAATAATATTGCTAATTGAACACCGTTTATGATCAGAATTTGCACTTTAATCCTATATTTTTCATTCATTTCAAGGTTTTGCTGCCAGCATATCAATCTTTTTGTTATTTGAGGTTATTATGATCATAAATGTAAGATTAAATGATTGTGCTTTCTCTTTTCTTATCAGTTCACAGTCTAGAGCAGATCTATTAACACTTGGTTTGGCTGTGACCAGTATATTAACTGGACTAGTATGGTTATCTATCCGACCAAAATCTATCACTCTGGTAAAGGCCTGTGTATAGGCTTTTTGTGTTCTGTTTTCTTCCACAGCCATGCACACCAGATATGCTCACGTGCATGTTAAATTGAATGGAAGTGGATTAATGTATCCTTGATATTGATATCAGGTAGACCCTCAAGGAGTGGAATGCCAAGTATTTTATCCTCAACTTTCTGAATGGGTTGTCTCTGAGATATTTTGGTATTCCATGCTTCTCTTTTCATTTTTTACTTGATTTTCTCACAAATGTATGGCTTTTCAATGGTGGGTTCATAAATTTTTAGAGTTTATACCAACATATAATGATCATGTTACACTTGTATTTTAACCCAGAACAACATATAATGCTGAGACGGTTCATATCATGGTTTTCTTACCTTGCTTGGCTTGAGATAAATTCGACTTAAATCCATTTATTGCTTGGTTTCTTTTACCAGCATTGTTCCTTAACTTGGCTGATTTCCAGTAACTCACTTCTATGTCTCCCAATAGGAGTAAATAAAATGAAATACTTCACTTTCAGAACGCATAAACTATTGTCTCCAAAAATTTCTCCATTCAAGTTTGTAACCAAATTGTTTAAGGTAACCTCCAAAATCTGAATAAGCATTTTGTATATTCTGCTTGTTCATGCCTAATGTGGTTTTGTCTGGATAAAATGGAATTTTAGGTTTCAAATGGTTGGTATCAAAACCCAAAAGTGCCTTGCTAGGTGCCAAGGGAGGCATTGCTGATGATTGAGTTATCCTTTGTTACTCAAAATTGTCTCCTAAACTATCTATCTATAATTCTTCTTATATTATGTTTTCCTAAGATAAATCACCATTGTGAGCGCTGCCGGAAACAAATTTTTAATTTTTAAGTAGTTTGATTTCTGTATCTAGTAGAGCTCCAAACGGTGATGCTTCTGAAATTAAAAAATAATGCAATATTGGAGTGGTAGGGTTTGCTTGCTTGAAATTGTTAAAAGAAGGGTAACAAACAGTTAACAGCCTCATTGTTTATATATTTGTTTTTTGATTGGATAAGAAAATCTTAAACATAAGGTGCTCTAGTGTCCTGAAATTGAAAGATATACAAGGACTAAACGTATTTATTTCTTGTGTCCTGTCTTTAGATTAAATATCTCTGTTGTTTCTTTTTTTCAGGGCTTGGGAATCTCTTTCAGCCATAACGTGCTGTAGGTCTCTAGTTATTGTTTATGACTGCAAATGCATTGTTCAAATTGGTGCGGCAGCTAAATCGCCTAATGATGGTGAACCTGTCATTGTCGATGCTGCAAAATTGATGCAGGGATCACTTTGTATAGGTGTTTTGAAGTCTGGAGCACGTCAGTTACTTCTGTCTGGGTTTTCAATTATTCTTTTATGTTGTAAACTATTTAAGTGGTTTGCGTGGGAAGTAGTTTTGACAAAATTATTATTAATTCAATTCTTTGCAGAGAGCTACTTAGCCAACCTGTCTCTTTACCCTGGGAGGTCTGAGCTGCCATTTTTGCCTTCAAATACGCAGGTCTCTAATCATGTTTACTCTTTCTCATGTGCACCTTCTTTTCATGCAGTGGAGAGCTGGGATTCTTTCAATGCACTTTATAGACTTTTTCTCCTCTTTGAGGAATTTAGATTCCTTTGATACACTAAATACTGAAGTTTGAATCCAGGAGCATATCACCTAAAATTGTTGCACTACAATTGTCCAATTACAATCATGAAGACCACACTTATAACTGGCTGACCCTCACATAATTCTTTGTTGTGATTGGATAATTGTAGATTGTAGTGAAAAATAACACTAGGTGAAATACTCCTGTCAAAAGTTTTTTTTTTCCAACACCTTTTTTTGATTCCTTGTTTCTCTTTTACATATTTTATTTTCAAATTTATGTTCAAGGGAACATTATCACTTTTCTTCAACCATACAGGGTTCCTTTTTTTTTTTTTT